TGTGTGGATTAACCAACAGATTTCCCCCATGTGATAACGTCCTTATAAGAGTTTTATATGTGGATGCTTTTCAGTATCTCACTCTGCAATGCTAAAAAATTGGGATTGTTATGTGCCTTCAAATGGTTGCCAACATATTACGATTCTAAGATGAACTTGTCATGTTTGTTTTTTTTAATGGAAAGATTTATTCAAAGGGGGTTTGCATTTGCCTTCCTCTGAGGCTGAAAGAGTGTGGCTTGACCAACATTACCAAGTGGATTGCCAAACTGGGTTTCAAACCCTGGTCTCCACAGTTTTAGTCCTCTGCTCAAACTACTATATCATGCAACTTTCTGCTAAAATTTGGGGACTGAAGGAAAAGTGTGTGTGTGTGTGTATTCTTATTGGTAGGATAATGTTCCCATTTCCCCTCCTTCCCCATAGCTATACCCTTGACTGTAATGGGAACACAGAGTACCCCAAAAACGTATTATGTTTAGGTATATTGTTATGGCAGGGCTGTGTATATGCTGAAATCTCACAAGCCAAACAGTAAAGCATTTCTGAGGTAGTGCAGTCTTCAGTGTCCCATGTAATTCCTATTCTCTCCCCATGAGGACCAAATCTGAGTAAATAAAGATAAATAAATTGAAGAATTGGGCATGAAAACGCATAGAGGTCATGTCCAGTATTCCAGGTTGCAGAAGTCAGCTATGTTTTCAGCACACTTGGGATTGCCTGGGTTCAAAATGTCTTTCAGCATAACTACTTTCCTATTCAGAAGGAAAGGAATCCTCAGATATGTTTACATGTTGAGGAAAATATAATGCAGAGGCTTTTCATCATTATCAGCTCATGCCTGGTGTTGTCTCAAGTTTCTAGAAAGCAAACCGCAGAAGCCTCTGACAATATTTTTCACCTAAAGCACCAAAGGACCAGAATGATTATGGGTGGTGATTTACAGAGACTTTGCCCTCTGGAGGTTAAATCCAGCCCATGTCAACAGACCACAGAATTCTTAACAGCAAATGTCTGCTCACTGACTCCTTGAGTAGTTTCATTCAATTTGTTGATGAACAAAGGCTCACTTTATATATCATCAATATGAAGTCCTCCTGTTGACCAAGGTCAAAGAATGAATAGAAAGAGGGAAGCCAATGACTTCTCCATTTGAAATAACAATTTGTGGAGTATCTGCTTTAAATTGGCATATGGGGAAGGCAAAGGGAAACCCTCTCTGAACAAATCTTGCCAAGAAAACCCTGCCATAAATTGGAAATGACTTGAAGGCATGCAGCAACAAGAACAAAGTATAGATAAACCAATGTGCTTCCTGATGTTTCTTTGTTCTAGACCTTCAGCTTCTTCCTTTTTTAGTCCCAACACCTATCACAAGCACATGTAAGAAAGTCAAATGATAAACTTTGCCTTTTCTGATCAAGTCACAAGATCAATTTTATGCTAAAGGTCTATCTCGGCAGCATCCCACATGACTTTTGGTCCTTCAGTTGTCCATGGTCTTGGAGCCCTAGTACAGTGGACCCTTCACATCCTTGGGGGTTTGGTTCTGCTCCCCTCCCCTGCAAAGGGAAAATAACACAGGTGGTGGTGCCCCATATTATTCAATGAGTGGCGATGTGTGCAGGTCCACTTCAGCATGTCTGTGCATCTGGGTGCATGTGCCACCATTGAATAATATGGGACTAGGTGAGCCATGGATGCTCCAGTCCATGTATTGTTGATGCAGTAGGTCCACTGTAATACATTAATGCCATAATACATACATACATACACACTTATATACATATTGAAACCCTTACACAGAGGACTGGATGACACTAAAAAATAGAATCTATGTCACCACTATTGCAGTTGCTTGATCAATCCAGATACAGGACAGGTTTTGGATGAGAAACTATCTTGGTTATCCTGTGGACAACCTATTCTAAGAAATGGACAGAGGGAGTACAGTCCTGCGGTTCTTCTGGGTCTCTTAACAACTGCCAATACCATTAGACACTATATGCTTCTGAATAAACTGAATGAATTGAGATGTGGGAGAACATTGTATAGTAGTGAGAAATGTGGCAGAACATTACATCCTATACCTACTGGCATGCCCAATTCCAAAAGGTAGTGCTTAGAGATTATACCTCTGGCCTCTGATACTTATTTTGTAAAACTCCTCAGAGTTTTATTTTATCCCTCATGTTTCCCAACATCTACATGATACTGCTGGTAGAGGTTATCCACAAATGACACACAGTGCCATCTTTCCTCTCTCTGTAAAACAAGTGACACAGTTGTTCTGAGCCAGTGCTTGGGTAGTATAATGAACTAGAAGAGGGCTAGAAAAATGAGTATCTCATTCCAAACAAATGGAACGACAGCTTATAGAACGATAGAGTTGGGAGGGACTGCAAGGGCCATCTAGCCTAGTATTCTATCATGCAAGGATACACAACTAAAGCACTCCTGAAAGATGCCTATCTTTAAAAAAACCTCCAAAGAAGGAGAATCCACCACTCTTAGGCAGTCTATTCCACTGTGAAACAGCTATTACCATAAAGATGTTCTTCCTAATGTTTAGGGGGAATCTTTGTTATTGTAATTTGAAACCATTGGTTCATGTTCTAATCTATGGGGCAGCAGAAAACAAACTGGGTCCATCTTCTACATGACATCCTTTCAAATACTTAAAGAAGGGTGTCATGTCACCTCTCAGGCTTCTCTTTTCCATGCTAAACATATCAGCTTCCTAAGTTATTCTTCAAAAGGCTTGATTTCCAGATCTTTGATTATTTTGTTCGCCCTTTTCTGGATATAATCCAGCTTGTCAGTGTTCTTCTTGAACTGTGATGCCCAGAACTGGACACAAGATTCCAGGTAAGGTCTGACCAAGGCAGAATAAAGTGGAACTACTACTTCTACTACATACTATCTGGATAGTATGTTCCCTTTGATGCAGGCTAGATGAAGACAGCCTTTTTCAACCAAAAGTCATGTTTGACTCACATCTAGCTTGTGGCCCACTAAAACTCCCTTTCACTTGTATTGCTTTCAGGCCAGATGTCACCCATCTTATTTTTGTGCATTTCATTTCCCCCCCTGCCTAAACTTTGTATTCCCATGGAAATTCCTTTTGTTACTTTTGGCTGAGTTCTCCAATCTGTTATTTTGAATTCTGATCCTCCCCTCTAGGAGGTCCCCCTCCTAATTTGGTGTCTGCAAATTTGAAAAGAATGCTTTCTATTCCATCATCTACATCATTTATAAAGAAGTTGAACAACACTGAACCAAAGACAGAAATCTATGGCACCCCACTGGTCACTTCTTCCAAGATGATGAAGAACTATTGTTGAGCACTTTTGGGGTTCAGTCCATCAACCAATTACAAATTCATCTAATGGTAGCATTGTGTAGCTCATGGTTCACCAGCTTGCCTGCAAGAATATAATGGGGGACACTTTCTAAGAATGCAAAGACTGACTGCTTAATTATAAGTTACTTGGGTCCTCTGTCCTCATTTTTTGAAGAGGAAGAAAACATTTACCCTCCTCCAGTCTGCTGGAATCTTTTCTGTTCTCCTACAATTCTCAAAGATGATTGACAATGGCTCTGAGTCTACATCACAAAATTCCTTTAGTATTCTTGGGGAAAGCCATTTGGTCCTGGATACATGAATTCTTTTAGGACATTATCACACGGGGGCAAATCTGCTGGTTAATCCAC